TTCTTCTTCTTCTTCTTCTTCTTCTTCTTCTTCTTCTTCTTCTTCTTCTTCTTCTTCTTCTTCTTTCTTCTTTCTTCTTCTTCTTCTTCTTCTTCTTCTTCTCTTCTTCTTCTTCTTCTTCTTCTTCTTCTTTTTCTTCTCCTCCCTCCTCTTCTTCTCTTCTTCTTCTTCTTCTTCTTTTTCTTCTTCTTCTTCTTCTTCTTCTTTCCTTCTTTTCTTCTTTGTCTTCGTCTTCGTCTTCGTCTTCGTCTTCGTCTTCGTCTTCGTCTTCTACTACTACTACTTCATAATCTAATGTCTATATTTTTTCATTTTAATTGCTTTACGCAGATGATAATAGCCTGTTTCTTTTTGCAAAGACTCTACATCATCTCTCTAGGAAATCCATAACTCAGTGCAAGAATTATAACAAATATTAACATTTTGTTATTTGGGTCATTTTTATATTTTTCTGTAAAACAACCTGCGACCAGGAATGGGATCCTTAGCACGGAAACAGCATACACCATGGAATCGGTGCTCTTCCAGTCATAGCTCATGGATACTACATTCCACACTCATTTATTGATGGAAATAATGCTAAAGCCCCAACCTAATAGCCAAATGAGTTTAAAAACCCTCCAAGAAGTTTGTTCCCTTCTGGCAAGTCATTCCTGTCACCATGGCCTTCAACTGAAACGCTCAAGTTCGCGTCACCCTAGCCCACAGCCAGATCTTCCCATGAATGCATGTTCACATCACTCACCCCTCAAGCCAAATTTCTTCATGTTCCTCTGGAACATAGGAATTAAGTTAGTGGCACAGGCTGCATGAGATGGGAAAAGATTCAGTTAGAATTAACCTCTGAGAGCTGCAAACCCTCTAGCTTATTTTTGCTAAGGCAAATTATGGTTGTTGGCATTTCATGAGCATAATTTTACACACTAGTTTATGTATGTTAAATTGTCATATAACGTCTATAGAGAGAGTTTATATTGCTCTCACCCTTTGTATATGAATAAAAATGGGGAAAATTACTACAAACAGTGAAGAAAATACAGAGTAATTATTCATAGTTTTATAATGAAAAACTATGAAACATCGATTTAGATGTATTCATGAATATCTATATATATAGTAAGAGTACAATGATATACATTATTTTCTTAAAATTCAAGTTTCTATTAAAGATCTTTACAATCCATAGCCAGGTCACTGAGTAAACAATATTGTTACCCGTGACTAGAATCTAAAACAAAAATTTAAACAAGAATGTTCATGTGAAATAACATAACTCATATGGATTGTTGAAGAGAAAATTTGGTTTAAATCAATATCCTGAATTATAATTGGTTACTTTTGCCCCATGTCAACAAATTTAAAAAGGTTTTGCCAAAAGGATTATAAAGGTCATATTAAAAAATATTAGAAAGTCATGAATTAATTACCTTGTGTAACTTTAAGCCAGATGTCTTTTCTAAAAACATGGAGTATTAAATGATTATGAAATGTATTAAAAATCTTTTGCTTAAGAAGCACTGAGTCTTAAAACTCCATTCTGTCTAGTGCACAGTTAGTACATTTGACCTCATTTGATTTTCTCTTTTTAAATTGAGTTTCAGATTTAAAAAAAAGGAAAATGCTTTTGATATAGATGCTGTTATTACTATTACTTACATTTTGATTAGTTGCATTATCAACAATGCTAGTATTGGTATGAAATAAGATTTTTTGTGTGAAAAACAAGGAAGAAAGAAAAAGACAAGATAAATGGGATTAGTAATTGTCTCCTTGGTGATTGAGCACTTGTGTAGCAATCTGTATGTAAATGCAATTTGTAAATTAAGTTTACAATGGACATGGCATATACATGCACACCATCCCTGCTGGTATGTGAATACTTGTGTGTGGTAACAAAGACTCTAAGCCTCCTCTTTGAAATTTTATTTTGCATAAGCAATTTTAGCTTTTTTGCTATTTTCCAATGTCCATATTTGTCTTGATTTTCTTTGTCCCTATGTAGTAGATAACTGTGTAAAAAAAAAAAAAAAAAAAAATGTTATTTGTTACATTATTATTATTTATTTATTTTATTTTTTTCATAATATTCAATTTTCTGTAATGCATCCAGTTATGGCAGTCAGGTACAGGATGCTAAGCATGGAAATGGCATCCACCCTAGAGCTGGCGCTCTTCCAGTTATAGCTCATGGACATTGCATTCCACACTTGTTTATTGATGGGAATAATGCAAAAGCCCTATTTCTAAATGCCAAATGAGTCTAATTACCCTCCAAGAGGTTTGTGCACTTGTGGTGAGTCTTTTGTGTCACCCTGGCCTTCGTTCATGACAGCAAATTCATGTCACCTGGCCCATGGCCATTTTTACCCACGATGGCATGTTCATGTTGCCCACCTCTCAAGCCAATTTTTTTCATGTCATCATGTCACATCACATCGATTGAAGGGGTTGAAACTTATTGAACTTATCTAACTGGAAACTTTTTGGATGTATATGTCAAACATTTCTTATTTTCTTTAGGTGATAGCTGTAACAGACTGAAGAAGTGGAAAAAACCTATCTACAATTTATAAACTAATCTGACTATAGGCACGGCATGTGTATGCATATCGTCCCCGGTGGCATTGGGTTAAATACAAAAAAGAAAGAAGTAAATAGGGATGCGAAAAGACCAGTAATATATTAGAAGAAAAATAGATTGTAATGTGAAATACCAGAAGCCTAACAGTATACTGTTATGTAAACTGGAGGGTTGAATTTGTAATATATCTCAAAACTTACTGAACTTATTTAATCCTCTAGCACCGGTATATTTTGAAGCTGAAAATATTAGTTTCCGGATGGCTACAAAATCGGTGCGCAGGGCTGGCCGCGGCCTGCAACAGAATCCATCGTCACACTGGCGGGAAGCCTGCAAAGGTTTATGTGTGGGACACCCATCGCAAATGGGTTAATTGGAAACTTTTTAGATGTATATGTCAAAAAAATTGTTTTCTTTAGGTGATAGCTGTAACAGAATGAAGAAGTATATTTATCTTAAGCCTTGGACTTTATCTACTGCTGATGTAGAATCATCTTTTGCCCACTCATTTATTATTATAGTTTATTACTGTTGTTTTGATTGTGATATGCTCTTATTATTAAAAAAAAAGAAAAAAAAGGCCTCTCTGAAAGGGACCTCAAAAATTCAAGATTGGACCTAGCATGTAAAGAATAAACTTGTTAATAGCAGCATATGAAGAGTTAATAAAAGAATTATTTCCTTGTATATGAGCCAATAAAGAGTAAATAAAAGAATTTTTTTCTTGTATATGAGCCAAGTGTATCTTTATTTAATTTTTTTTCAATTTTTTTATTCTTTGAATACAATAATATTTTATATCACACAATAATATTTTATAATATCACACTACTGGGTAAAAAAATTAGAAAGTGAATATTATTGGGGGGTAGTTGGCACACATCGACAAATTCCCCTGTTTGCGCCTGGCTTGTTCAGTAGTTTGCGGGCAATATAGGGCACCCAAAAGCTTGTATTTTGATAAAATTTGTAAAAATATATATTTTTCAAAGGTTTGTCTTCACTTTAGCTGCTTTTACCTATAAGTTTTACCATAGAAATGTTTCTGCTACTATCAAAGAAAAACAAGCTCCGTTCGATGACCTCATGGCGCGGGAATGGTTGTGTTCGATACCTTACTTATCCACAACAGTCATGGCATGTTTGTGCATGCCACCCGGCAGGAAGTATTTAACAGTGACTGATTCAATTGATAAGATATATCAGTTTATACAATTACTTTCAAAGTAGTCATTGGAAAGAACCATTTGATATTGCTTTGAGCAAAAAGTGTAGCGAGTTATATCCTTACACATTTATTTGTTTGCATTCAGTCTCTCATATGATATCCTTTGAAATTACTACTTTCCATAATGTACAGTGATATTAGTAGTATGTGACTGGTTTTTCATTATTTCAATGCTTACATTTTCTCCTATCAGTTGTTGTTTTTTATAGTCATTACAGAATGCTCTTTAGTGTGGTTTTGTGTCGTTTCTTATATTTACATATCCTCTATCAATCATTAGAGTTTTCTGTACAAGGCTTTTTGTGTCATTTGATGTGGAACCATCTTAATCTTTACCGCTGATCTTAATCTGTTTGATTTTTAGAATTACTTAGTGTTTGAATTAGTGATAAATGTTTATTAATGGTGTCCTGGTATGCAGGGCCCTCATAGGTGATGAGTCAATGAGAGGGACAGTCTTAGTTTGACAAAAATTGAAATGAAATGATAGTATAGAATATGACTTAGGAATACATTGACGACCATATATATATATATATATATATATATATATATATATATATATATATATATATATGTATGTATATGTATATATTTATATGTATATATGTATACATATATGTATATGTATATATTTATACGTATATGTTATGTATACGTATATTTATATGTATACGTATATGTATATGTATATATTTATATGTATATGTATACGTATATGTATATTATAT